ATTTTAATTTTTTTACATGTATTTATTTTGTGTGACTTGGAGGGGGTCCCATACATAGGCCATAGCACGTATGTGGAGAGAGGAAAACTTGTAGTTAGTTCTCTCCTTCCACCATGTGGATTCCAGGGATCCAACTCAGATCGTCAGTCTTAGCAACAAGCACCTCTACTGAACCATCTCGCCAGCCCCTCCTTACAGACTTCTTAAAGCTTTATCAATCTCATCACGGAAGCAGACTGACTTATTTATTCTCTTTATTTGGGGCTTATAGAAACTCTCTTTCAAACTATGAGTAGACGTTCAGCACAGAGAAAGACACGTGCAAATGGCCATGCAGTCACTTCCCAAGTTCGGTTTGGTAGTGACATCATTAGTGAGCAGGGGGTTGAACCTGGTGTTACACTGTGACGTCGGCAGGAACCAGAGGACACAGTGAGAGCCACTGTGGCCATGCCTTTAGTTAAACCACCGCAGAGAACTTGTATAATGAAGATGACTACTTACCTGGTAAGTCATCCCAACCCTTAATTCTTCAAACTATCAAAAAAAATTATCATTTTGTTTGTACATGGCAGTACAGTCCTTCAAAAAATATTTTATTTTTATTTTATGTGTATGACTGTATTGCCTGCATATGTGTAAGTGCACCCATGTCCTGCAATGCTCTTGGGGTATCAGATCCCCTGAACTGGAGTTAAAGATGGTTATTTAGCCACCATGTGGGTGCTGGGAATTGAACCCGGGTCCTCTACAAGAACAGCCAATACAATGCTCTTAACAGCTAAATCATCTCTCCAGCCCCACATAGTACATTCTTAAGACACAGATCAGAAATCCTGCCTGTAATTTAAGGTTTGTTTTGTAGTCCAGCACCAGGAAACACTTCCCTCCCTGATGATCTCTAGTCCCTCTATCCACCACCTGAGAAACTTACCATCATGAGGCCAGCCAACTGCTCTTAACAACTGTCTCATCATCAGCTACCTTAGTGTTAAGCTGTTTCATTCTATGCCAAAAGGTGCCGGAAATTAAAGCATGACTCACCTGTTTATAATGGTGAAGGAATCTTTGATGAGAACTGTTTATTAGATTAGATAACTATCTTTAAAAAATTGCAATTCAATCTCTTTTTAAAAACAGGTCAGCTTTGAAAATTGGTGTAATATGCCAGGCGTGGTGGTGCATGCTTTGAATCCCAGCACTCCAGAGGAGGGGAGGTGGATCTCTGTGAGTTCAAGGCCAGCCTGGTCGACATAGCAAGTTCCAAACCAGCCAGGGTTAAAAGTGAGACCCAGTCTCAAAGGAAGGGGGGAGGGGATAGGAGAAGGGAGAGGAAAGGAAAGAAAATTAGTATATATAAGACTCTATAAAAATGAAACTAAATATTGTTAATCTCATTTTCAAAACCCCTAGTAACCGTGAATAGCCACAGGTTTCAATCAACACAATCCCTGTTGAAAAGACCCAGCTAGAAAGCCAATGGTTAGATTACAGGTAAGAGTCTACACCTGGTTACAGGGATGCAAACCTGCCTCCTGTCAACAGTCTAAATAAAGTCAGACTACAAAGTGCATTTCACTTAGTTTATCATGACAGAAGGCATGGATTGTATGCCACATGTAGAATCAGACTCTTGATTAGAAAAACGTGTACAATCACGTTGACTCAGCCTATAGAAAACCATTATAAAAACTGGAAATCTTTCCCCCTGGTTCTCTGTGCTTCCTACTAAGTCAACCGGAAGAGACATTTCCTACCGGAAGCAGATGCCTATCTCCTCCGATATGTCATTGTGCCCAGGAACATCAAGTCTCTTTGTCACTCTTGATAGAATTCAGCACTAAAACATTTGGGCAATGACTTTCCTGAGGACCTTCTTTTTTTTTTGCAGTGCTAGGGGATTAAACCCAAGGCCTAGAAGCTCTCTTCCACTGAGCTATTTCCAGCACTTACGTGTAAAACTTCTTGACAGATATATTGATGAAGAACAAGATTTTCAGAGGTTGACAGGGTCTGGAAAGGTCATAGAACAAGCGACACTTTAAGTTCAGCTTACTGCAATTCCTTAGAAAACCTCTGGTTTCTGCTATACTTACATTAATTTCAATAATTCATAAACAAACGAATGCCAATACTTATATTCAGCACATTTGCACTTAGCTTTGTTCCCTCACAGACAGGTGTTTTTTAAACACAGTTTTTTGGTTTTTTTTTGAGACAGGGTCACCCTATAAACCCCAGTTGGCCTGGAACTTGCTATGTAGACCAAGTTGGCCTCAATCTCACAGAGATCTGCTTGGCTCTGCCTCCCAAGTGCTGGGACTAAAGGGATGTGTGTGTGTGATTTTATTTATCTTTATTTGATGTGTTTGAGTATTCTGCCCACATATATGTAAGGGCACCCATATGTGCAATGCCCATGGAGGCCAGAAGAGGGCGTCAGATCCCATGGAACTAGAGTTACAGGTGGTTATGCACTATGTGGGTGCTGAGAAATTGAACCCAGGTCCTCTGCAAGGGCAGCCAGTGCTCTTAACCACTGAGCCATCTCTCCAGCTCCAAAGGCTTGTGCTTTTGAGGGAAATTTATTCAAGGCCTAATCTGGTTACAAGAACACATTACTGGTCTTCTCAGGATTTGGACCAAATCGCTTTATAGTTTCTTGTTCTGAAGGTAATTAACCATGTCGATAGAGCTTGCCAGTGAGGTAAGCCCGTTATGGCAGAGAATGGGAAGAAGCCATTTTGTATTGGTTACTTTTTTTGTTACTGTCACCAAACACGTGACAAAATTAACTTAGGGAAGGATTTATTTGTGTTCAAGGTTTGAGGAGATACTGGCCACCACAGCAGGAAGGCAAGGCTGCCAGCGGCTCCTCACAGTGGGCATGAGGGGCGGCTTGCTCACATCTTGGTGGGTCAGTGACCAGAGAAAGGGGAATGCCCCCACTTGTTTTCTCTTTTTATTCCATCCAATCAGTTGGTGATGCCCAAATTCTAGACCCTTCTTCCCTAAGCGATCTCCTCTAGAAAAGCCCTCACAGGCACTCCTGAAGATATGCCTCTCCAATTAACCATCACAGTCACCCTTCCCATCATCCTGTGCAGCACTGAAAAGAGCACTAAATGCTGCCGGAGATCCATTGGAGGCCAGGGGAGATTATTGGGTTTTGTTATTTCAATTTGTTTATAGAAATCATACATTTATTTATGTACCTATTGGAAGGGTAAGCAGGCCATGACACACCTGTGGAGGTCAGAGGAAAAGTTGTGGGAGGAATCAGTTGTCTCCTTCCACCATGTACGTTCCAGGGGTCTAACTCAGGTCATCAGGCTTGTTGGCAAGTGGCTTTACCAGCTGAGCCATCTCAGCAGTCCAAGGATAGTTTTTAGGGTTTTGCTGTCCTTTGTCATTGGTGGTCTTTTTGAGACAGGGTCTCCCTGGGGCCCCAGCTGGCTTGGATCTCCCTATGTAGACCAGGAAGATCTCTGCTGGTATTAAAGACATGTACCACCAGGCCAGGCTCTGAGGCTGGTTTTCAAATGCCTGCTGTAGTCCTTACTCTAGTGTGAGGAGCTGAGGTGTTTAGATGCTAGCCAGTTGTATGGATTTAGGTCTTGCTGATGCACTGAAATCTTTTCTGCTTCTTGGTGCTGCTGTGGCCTAAAAATACCTACTGAATTTCCTTACTAGAAACCTTGGCACATAATACAAAAACGCAATGAAGCATTATAATTTCATGAACCCAACCAAGCCAATTCACAAGGCAACAACACACATAGCATGCCTTTCAGTTATTTTATTCATGACAGAAAAGTGTGCATAATCACAGCTCTGATGACTCTATAACTACGAAGAGTGTGTCTGCTCCCAGCAGAGTACAATCACCCCAGGCCCTTTAAGACATACAGACCACATGCTTAACACCTGATGGCTCTTGTGCAACAAAGCCACATTAGTGTTTACTTGTGCTTCTACAAAACCTTCCAAGAATGAGGTAGTTTCTTTTACCCAGTGTTCTTCCCACAATCCCTTTACACTGTAGCCCCCTTCAGTCCTTTCAATGAGACCTTCCAACAATCTTGCATGAAAGCTGAGCATCAAGTAGCTACGAAGTGCCCCTTTCTACCTACATAACGAGAATCTTCAGAGTCCACTGTACAACCCGAAGAAGCCACGCTTTGCAGTGATGTGGTTCATCATTATGACAGACTCTGATGCATGAGAACGAGCCACAACTTCGTCCTTAAACTCATGCTCTCTTCCCATTCACAAGCTCTGGTTTAACAACTTCCTGTACTTTCTATCCTCTGCAACCAAATCAAATATGCACAAATACTTATGTATGTGTGGGTCAGACTACCTGGGTAAACTGTGGGATCATTCACTATTGTACATCGCCAGAAAACTGTCCAGAGGTTGTAAGGACGCACACAAGGTTGGTTACTTTGTTTTCAGAGGTCTCGCTATGTTTCTAAGACTGACGATTGAATGCACATCCTCTTGTTTGGGTTTTTTGGGTTTTTTTCTTTCTGTTTTTCTGTTTTAGAAAGAGGGTCTTACTCTGTAGTCCAGGCCAGACTGGAAGTCACTTTGTAGTTCAGGTTGGCCTCGAGTTCATGGCAATCCTCTTGCCTCAGGTTCCTGAGTACTAGGGTGATTACAAGCTACCACATCCAAGTTGTTAAAAAGATATTTAAATTCTGATTCTGGGGATTGGAGAGATGGCTCAGCGGTTAAGACCACTGGTTGTTCTGGCAGAAGACCCGGGTTCAAATCCCAGCACCCACATGGCAACTAACAACTGTCCGTAACTCCAGTCCCAGAGGATCCAACAAGCCTCTTCTGACCTCTGTGGGCATTGCATGCTACGGTGCACCTGCCTACATGCAGGCAATACACACGTACACATAAAATAAAAATAATAAAAATCTTAAAAATAAAAATCTTATTTTATGTGAATGAGTGTTATGCTTGCAAGTATCTATGTATGTGTACAATGCCTGCAGTGACCAAAAGGGAGGGTTTGATCCCCTGGAAGTGGAATTCCAGGTGGTCGTGAGCCACCCTGTGGGTGCTGGGAACCTAGTTTGCACTTGTTCTCAACCACTGAGTCATCTCTAGACCCTGCACCCAACTTTTAAAGAACTGATTTCAATCTTATCAGAGCCAGAGAGAACTGAGTTTTTATAAAACTTATCAGTGACACAGAAGAGGATATTTCCACCCTGTTCTTAACTCTGAGAGTGATGTCCAAGCCCATATGAAATTAGTCTGTGGGAACTTCAGCATGGCTCACAGTTTAGTTGTGAACTAAATAATAACTCATTTCTAAATTTGTTACCCTTCACCAACGAATGGGGGTTAGTGGTAAATAGTGTTTCTAAGGAAATAAAAAGTCCCAACCTATTCCTCATCTCTTATTTTTTGGCTTAAGTTTATGAATCTTGGAATTAAATGACTGAACTGTCACAAGAGATCTTACAGATCGTGCAGTTAAAATACACTCTATCCAAACTGGACAACAGCGGTTTTAGAGCTCATAGACTGGCCTACCACGGTATGAAAAGGATGCCTTCAGGAAGATCCCTCAAAACTTGAATCCAATTAGACTTTAGAGCACTTGTTTGTAAAACTAAATTTCTTACTTTTGTCAATTATTAAAGCAAATACGATCCCACGAATTATTTATCCAAACATTACTACAGTCTAGATTTCATGACCAGCGTCTCCAACTAATTATCTCTGAAGTTTTCTACTATGGTATGTACATTGAGGATGAAAATTCCTTTATTCCATCTTTGCCTTTTAAAAGGTTTATTTTTGCTTTTATGTGTATGTACCTATTTGTACACGTGCATGCCAGAGAAGGGTATTGGATCCCCTGGAGTGGGAGTTGAAGGCAGTTGTGAACTGCGTGATGTGGGTCCTAAGAACCAAACTCAGGTCCTCTGCAACAGCAGCGAGCACGTTGTCAACCACTGAGCGATCTCTCCAGCCTCTCTACCTTTTAAGGGATATTTTCAGCAGCGGTTAAAAAAAAAAAATGTGATTTTTAAAGAATGAATTTCTTATTCAAAACCTCAAACTGAAGCTGGGCCTGGTGGCACATGCTTATAATCCCAGGTACTTAGGAGGCTGAGGCAGGAGGATTGCAAATTCAAGTCCTGTCTGGGCTATAGAATGAATTCGAGGCACCTTTGAGCAACTTAGTGAGCTGTTGTGTCAAAATAAAAAGTAAAAAGAGGGCTGGGACACAGCTCAGTGGCAGGCCAGTTGCCTGGCACGTGAGAGGTCACAGGACTACAGGAAACAATCCCAACCCTGTGAAAGACACGGTTCTATGAGAACTACTCTGAGCGGCCGGCTCTGTCATCTTCACACCGTCCATTTGGACAGTGTGTATCCTTAGGTAGTCTACACACATGTCCCTCTAGGCTCACTGTCTTCGCCTTGGTCAATGTCATCTGGCTTTTGAATCTGACGTTCTGTGAGACACATTACGGCAACTCAGCAGTGTACCAAGAGGGCACGAGTAGCAGACACGCCGCTCTGACGACAGCGCAGAGGTGGACATCTACACCCCAGACACAGGTAGGAATAATCCCAAGTACTGACCTTCCTAAATAGTAGAAAAGAATGAGAGTAGGAAGATTTCCATATGAAAAATGAGATGAAATGTGATTTCTTGCTGAGATGTATTCTGGTCTTCCTCTCTTTATCATTTATAAACACTGCTTTTGTATCTAAAAATAGTTCAAGGGGCTGGAGAGATGGCTCAGCGGCTAAGAGCACTGGCTGTTCTTGCAGAGGACCTGGGTTCAGTTCCCAGCACCCACATGGTGGCTAACAACTACCTGTAACTCCAGGGGCTCTGACTCCCTCTTTTAGCCTCTGCCAGCATTATACAACATGGGTGTGCTTCCAGGTAGGATACTCGCACACATAAAATAGAAATAAATAAAAAATATATATTTTAAAATTAGTTCAAGTAAAAGGCCATAAACTCTGTGAGGTAATGTTTATACGCCATGTGTTCTCTAAAACAAACTTCCTTTCCTATTGCTGGCTGTGAGATGCACATCTGTGGGTGTTCAGTCATCCTGAACCAAATGAGCAACAGTGCTCCCCATCTCTGTCCCGTAACACGGAATATTTACCGAGGCCTCCTGCCTCTAAGGGGAGAGCTATCAGGAGCACAAAAAGCTGAATAAATTCTACCTGTGTCAAAACAAAGTGACAGCTGCCTTCAAATGTCCATGAAATGACGTTCATTGGGACTATTGTTTATAACTTAAGCATTTGCACATTCACATAAGAAATCCATACTGCAAGGCAAAAAAAATCAGGACACGAAGTGAGGGGTTTCCTCGGTGCTCAGCTGAGACCCTGGCCTTGATGATATGGTTGAAGAAGAGTTATTGCTCTGAGTCTTTCAGAAAATATCAGTCAATGAAAACCAGCAAACGTCTCCTGAGACACCGTCTTCCCCTGTTACAACGGTTAATCAAACACAGTGTTGAAGACCAGAAACAAAACTCTACGGATGACCCCTGAGCCAGGAAGGCAGAGAGACGAGTTCACGCTCACAGCTATTTTTATACCAGAGTTCCTTTAAAGCAGAACTGAAAGTGTGACTATCAAGTTCCTACAACCCATTTGCCTTAAGAGGGGCTCAGATCTACCTTCATACACTAACAGCGCTCAACGTGGGGGTGAAACAGCTTATTTGGGGGCAGTACTATCAAGCAACAGCATAGATGCAGTGAAGAAAGTCACCCCAGGGTGAGTGGGTAGCTTCCCTTGTGTTAAACAGAACTAGAACCACACACCACCCAAGCTTCTTTCAGCAACCCTTCTCCTAGAAGAAAACATGACTCCCCAAAGTTCTCTGTCACCTCTCTCTCTTTGTGCTTTTGAAAACAAAGGCCACAGTAGGAATTACTGATTTTTCGCGCCTGCTTCCCCGGAAGCTGGCTCATCTTGTACACCAGAGGTAGAATCCTTGATAAAGCGACTCACCAACAACACCCCCACATTTCTTCATCAGCAAACCTTAGCAAAGGCTCAGACCCCTCTATGTCCGAACGTCTCCCTTTGAACTCTTGGTTTTCGCTGATGTGTTTTGGGGAAAGCTGACAAACTCAAGCTGCAATATAAGAACTTGGGAAAGTGGAAGGAACGTGTCACAGACTGATCAAGACTTGAAGCACCACCAGCTGTTTATACACGCTCGCCTGTGAATTGCTGAATCTCATTTGATCAACCCAATTAAACATTAAATAATTGCAGCCAATTATGCAAATATCAGCAACAATATTAATTTGTTGATCTTTCCGAGCAGATTAGCTTCACATGTTCCTAATGCTACACTATCATGTGCCTTAAATGATCAATTAGTGTTGCGATAACTAAGTCTTGAAGAATGGGTAATTGCCTAGTTATCACGCCCCTCTTGCTGTATTCGCCCCGCAATTAAATAGTGCATAAGAAAATAAAAAACTCGTGCAGATGTTCCTCTTAGACTTACTTAACAAGTCAGTGCCAAGGTCAGTTTCCCAGTACTTCAAGGAGAATGGTAGACTGCTGTTTTAAGAGGACTCCCATGTTTTAAAGTTGTGTATCCTTCCTCTTCAATGGAGTCTGATGGAAAGAGCTTAAACATGTTTGTACAAAAGAGTCATAACATAACGTTGTCCAGCTTTCACGAAGGGCATGCTCAATTTAGAAAGGCAGAGTCTAAAATGCACTTCTGGGAAAACCATTTCCCCTGTTCACAGGACTCAGTGCTACTTGACAGAACTAACACTCTTCCTGTACCAAGGTTAAGGATGGACCGAAGCACAAGCCCCTTGGGATGTTACCTCGTGAAGACAGCAGGAGAAGGTCAAGAGCCACCTGAAAACAGACTCACCCAAGACTTCCAATTGCCAAAGCAAAGGCCCGAAATCATATCTTACCGTCCCTTTCCGTCTCAGCCCCTCTCTAGTTTTCATTGTACTGGTCCTGTCTAAAAGGCCCTACAGCTAAAAGCTCTGGAAAGGAATCAAAGTCCATTTACTAAGTGTTGTTAAATGCCTTGAGGAAGTGTTTCTGATGGATCAAGCCTTTAAAATGTCCTTCCCCTGGCTCTGAGAAGACACTGGAGTTCCAACAGCAAGATGAAAGTCATTCAGACTGTGAAACCAAAATACCAAGGCTGAGAGCAGACCTTCCAAGGGTGAATATTTCTATTAGGATTTGACTTTACCCTAGATAAACCGAGAAATGAAACCGCCCTCAGTCTTAGCTCCCAAACAAGGAAAACACTGGCTGGAATTTCTGTCTCTATAACCTAATCATGTGCCCATTCGATCCCCACCCAACAGAAGAGCACACACAAAGTGTAGAGAAAAATCCAGTTTCCTTCCTACATACACCACAAGCCCCCCACTACGGTCTATTTGGCATCTAACCCTTAATGCACAACGTCTGTCCTTTCCATTTGGTTTGTACTTATCATGAATTCTGTCCAGACCTATCACTTCAATGCCATTGTTTCTTCCCGAAACAGAAGATCCCTCCAGCTGACCACGTCACAGCAAGTCTAATGACATAGGAGTCCATGGAAAACAAAGATGTCATGAGGTAAATACTGCTACGTGCTGTCAGCATCAATCACCGTTTCCAGCAAAGAGGGTCATCATAGAGATGAAAGGACAGAAGGAACTGTTGGCTTGTTCATCCAATCATTAGAGTAAACATTTACTGGGTACCTACTACACGTGGGGCGTTGAAGACACCAAGACCTAGAGGTATGAGACCCCCCCCCCAGTCTCATAGCAGCGAAAAGCAGCTGGTTACAACACTGTGCAGAAAGGCCAAGGGAGCGATGGATGCACTCAGGTCTCACACGCGCCCACGGTGAGGCTGGAGCAGAGCTGGGTATCAGGAAGGGAGGTATTCACCTTAACACGGTCTTAGGGGGCCTGCAAAATTTTCATGAGGCCAGCCAGGGCTACATAGTAAGCCCGACTCAGAAAACAAAGCAAAATCACCAACAATAACAAAAAGCCATGTTCCGAGTGTTTCTGAGGACAGCCGTGAGTCACCAGAAGTGACACCTCAGGTCGCCCCCCAGACACACACAGTCATCTCATTTGGTTGAGGAGCCCTAACTTCTACTAAAGAATAAACATTTTGGGGTCTGCGTGAAGCACTACGGGAGGCACTCAAATTACTGAGGAGAATTCTATGTGTGATATGGCTTACATTATTATCTTTCCAGAAGGTAAGGTAAGCAATTGCTAGCAAGTTTACAGAACAATATTTGACGCTGACAATTTTCTGTGGCTCAAGGAAAACATCTCAACTTGATAACACACTAACAATACAACTACATTATGCATGACGACTAACAGGTGGCCAGAGATCGGTCACGGTTCAAACAGAGCAATCAGTCTTCAATGTCACACCGTCCGCACCCTGCGGCTCTCCTTCAGGATAACACGATTGTCCAGTCGCTCTCTTCTCTTCCATACTATGACAAAAGGGAGAAAAGATGCTTCCGTATAAAATCATACATTTCAGGAATGGTTTACAAACAAGCCCATCAGCCACACAAACACAGACAGTGCATTTCTGTTTTATAATATTAAAGCCACAAACTGGGAAGCCAGCATGCCGGATCACACCCGCAATCTCAGGACTCAGGAAAGCGGGAGGGTACAAAGTTCAAGGTCATCCTTAGCTACATCGTGAGTTCAAGGATGGCCTGGGCTGCATGAGACCCTGCCTCGATTAATTAAACAAACTTTAGTGTATCTAAAATGCAAGGGAGAAGCAAGGGGCTCTGGATTTTACTTCTTTTCTGAAGGTCAGGCCTACTTTGACCTGCATTGTATACTGGGATTCCAAGAAAGGTTTCTTTTTTAAAAGATGTATTTATGTGGGGGCTAGAGAGACGGTTCAGTGGTTACGAGCACTGGCTGCTCTTGCAGAGAACCTGGGTTCAGCTCCTCTCCAGGCACTGCATACACAAGGTGCAGTTACATGAAGGCAAAGCATGCATACAGGTAAAATTAAAATCTTAAGAAAAAAAGATTGTGTGTGTATGTGTGTGTGTGTGTGTCTGTCCGTCTGTCTGTGTAAGCACCCACAGAGGACAGAAGGAGGCATCGGACCCCCTGGAACTGGAGTTACAGGTGGTTGTAAGCTGTCATGTGGGTGCTGGGAACCCAACTGGGGTCCTCTGCAAGAGCAGCCAGTGCTCTTAACCTCTCAGCCATCTCATCAGTCACAGAAAAAACTTCTTTTAAGGCAAGTTCTGCAACTTCAAAGTCCAGTGTGAGGAGCAGTAAAGTTAGTTATAGACAAAGTTCCTAAGGCTCTGCTTCCCTCCATCACCAGCCCAGCTTGCCTGCCTCCCTCTGATGCCATTTACCCCACACACTGGCATGTGTCTTCCTCTTCATGGGTTTCATAGACCTGGGGTGCTGGAGAGATGCAAAGGATGCAAGGTCTGTTCCCAGCACCAACATCATGCCAGCTCTAGGGGATCTGATGCCCTCTTCTGGCCTCCTGGGGCACTGCACTCACATGCACATACCCACACACAGACATGTAAATAAAAATAAAATTAAGAGTTTCCAAGATTTCAAGGAGCAGAACCCACCAATTTGGTAGGAACACAGAACCAATCTTGGCTCTACTGACCAGTGTCTGGCAGAAGAGCCATGAAACAGCTCATGGTTGTGAGACTTGATTAATCCACACCAAAGAAAGCTTCTGAAACACAGAGAGACGTGCACATCCCTGTGTATTGCTGAACTCTTCACAAGAGCTAGAAAAGGGAATCAACTTAGATGTCCAGCAACAGATGAATAAGGAAAGTGTAGTGCACACACACAAGGCATTGCAAAACCTCGCTCAACTGGAAATCATTATGTTAAGCAAAGGAGTCAAACTCAGTGTGCAGACATCTAAGCAGATCACCGAGTAGGATTCACAGCTCCGTCTTCAAAGCCACCGGTAAGAGCAAGTCCGCTTCCTTGGGCGGTTCTCACTTTGTAAGTGATCAAAACCCAATCTTTTCAAAAAGCTTTATTTTTCTTTAGTGTGCGTGACTGTTCTGCCTGTATGTATGTTAAGTGTACCACACACATGCAGTGCCCTCGGAAGTCAGAAGAGGGCATCGGATTTCCTGCACTGGAGTTATGGATGGCAGTTCTTAGGGGCCATGTGGGTGCCAAACCCAGGTCCTCTGCAAGAGCAGCCAGTGCTCTTAACTGCTGAGCCATCTCTCCAGGCCCTAAAAACCCAATCTTGGTTATAGTGACACAGGCCACGTGGTTCTACAAAGCTTCTAGTGTATATAAATTTTGACCCGTCTCACACTACAGTTAATGCTTCTATGTCAAATCACAGCACTTTAAGATATATCTAAGAAGCCATCAAACTGTCCACTTGGCTACTGGATAATTCAGTTTAATTTTTTAAGGAAAAACAGTTCTATGTAAGTATAGCAGATTCCAGCAATTAAAAATACAATTAAAGATTATATCCTTTCTGGGGCTGGAGAGTTGACTCAGTGGTTAAGAGTGCTGGCTGCTCTAGCAGAGGACCTGGGTTTGGTTCCCAGCACCCACAAAATGGCTAACAATCGTAACTCCAATTCCAGGGGAATCTGACACCCTCTTCTGACCTCCTGGGGCATTGCACGACACAGGTACACTTACTTACATGCAGGCAGTACACTCATACACATAAAATAAAAACAATAAATACATATATTTAATTAGATCCTTTCCTTAGAAGTAGGTGTCCATAGAAGAAGGGGAGTTAAAACCAAGCCTGCCTGGCAGGGCCTAGGCTATCATTATATGAGTTGAACACTACTTATCTGGACCTCTTGGAACCAGTATTGGGATACTTGGAGATATTTGCACATACATGAAGCACCCTAGGGCTGGGACAAAGTCATCAAGACAGGAAATTTACCTATGTTCACTATAGATCTTATGTAGGAAGGTAACTTTCTGCATCCTTTATAATGTCCTACACAAAGCCATGCTTGTGTCCACTGAACCCTGAAACCTCCAGTGTCACAATCTGAAGTTTTATTTTCAGGTGAGGCGTGCCTAACCTCCTGCAGTCCAACAGCTCAGGGCTCTGCTCCTGGCCCCTTCTGGTTCGTCTTCCTAAACGATGAGATGTCTGCCTTATCTTCACAATCGCCTCTTCCCACTCTGGGAAACAGGAGAGCCTAGTTCTCACACTGAGCTGTCCCCAACGCTGTATGAGGTGCAGGTTCCAGCTGCTCTGAGCCTGGGACAGCAGTGTCTGCATCCTTAGGAAAACATGAAGGAGGCTTGGAAAGAGGATTTCGACACATTCTGTGATCTGGATGTTCAGTCCCCTTCAAAGATCCTTGATTAAAGGCTTCATCCCCAGATGGTAGAACTACCAAATGGAGTAGAATTTTAGGGGGGACTGGCAGGAGTTCCTTAGGTCAGGGAAACTGAACCCTTGAAAGGGGAGGTGGACCTGCCCACCCTCTCCATTTCCTAGTTTGGGATGTAAGCGTTTATTCCAGCTCATTCTAGAACCTGCCACCAGTCAGTCTCATCAGGGACCAGACCACCATTGTGACTACACAAACCTTTTATTCTTATAAAATTAGTAGTTTCAGGTGTTTCATTTTAATAATATGAAGCCTCTAATGCCACATTATTCAAGATATTTCTCTTGTCTCCTTATGAATATGTAAAAGTAATACATTATCTGCTGGGGTTTTTTTTTAATTTACTTATATCTCAGAAATTCATTCCTTCATTCACTGAAGAAATATTACTACCTTTGTACTCTGCCCTGTGCTGAACCCTACGGGACATAAAGAGAATAAAAATTTTTAGTATTCAAACTACTCTAGGAGGGGGACCAATGTATGCTTAATTACAAGTGAACTTCAGAGCCTCCAGTGGAGTGCTGATGGAGGAAGAAACAGCCTTTTAAGTGGGTGAATGTCTCTCTGAACTGTGGGAATGGGGAACTGTTCAAGGGAGAATGAAAAAATTCCTACAGGAGATGAGCACTGATGGGTACCAGAATCCCATCAGGAGATCAGGCTATAGGAGGATCAGCAGAGACAGGTGACATCAAGGAGCACAGTCCTTCTGGAAGAGAGAGAGAGAATTCTAACTAGAGAAGCCCAGACTACGTGACTGACGGTCCTCGAGTTTGTTTGCTTAAGTACCAACACAGGTGGGCTTCTCTTCACTGCTTATAAAAAGGAGAAAAAAAAAATCAAACTTAGTGTTGGAAACATCCCCTTCCCAGGAGGTATTTAAACAGTAACATAACACCCAGGGAGTAATATGGGTAATTAGCTATGTGGGGTGAGTCCTTAATCTCACACATGGAAGTACAGAAGTTAACACAAGTCAGATCTGTGGTTATGAAGAGTTCCCCCAGGGTCACGCTGGCAAGCATCCTGATTTTTTTGTGGAGCACTTTGTAGGGAAACATCCATGTTTCCGTGTAATGCCAAAAGAGATCAAATGTAAAGCATGATGCAACATTATGCTTTTTTCTCAGTAATTACTAAAATTATTTTTCTTGGAAACAGACAAGCTGGTTGGCTCGGCTGACAGCTCCAATTTGCCATCTTGTAAGAGGATAATTTTGAGACATCAGCTTCCGTGCACACAGGCACGGGAAAACTGAGGAAAGAGATGTGGTCTGAGATTGTGGATGGATGGCGCTTTGGTGCTTCTAATAATCTGGAACACCTGTGGGACTTCTAGTTGCGATTCAGTCAGTCGCTCTGTGATCTCCTGTCTCTGTGGAGCAGCTTTTGGTTCCTTTATTCACTATCGGTTCTAAGTGGAGCATTGTTTTAGTTGTTTGATTTTAAAGACAGACCTTCACACAGCCCACCCTGGCCTCAAATTTCAGCCAGTCAGGTGGTGAACGTTTTCTTTCAGGCTATTCTTTGAGCTTCCAGAAGCTTACTTTTAGAAGACATCCCATGACCCCTGATAGCATTCCCATTTGTCCCCAAATTATGTGTGTGAATTCCTCAGTCACTCATGCTTGGGGGTCTGACGTATCTTCCGTGAGGCAATACTGGCCAGTCACTTCTGTTTTCTCTCCGTAACGTCCTCCGTCATCAGCGCATCTGTTGAAGTGGACTGTCATCTCTACTTAGGTCTTTCTTCCAACTCCAACTTAATATACTTTGATTTTTCTCTCAACTTATCAACACCTGTTCTGTTAGTCTCCCCCAAGCCCATCACATGGGTCACTTTTATATCCTATAATCAATCTTCAAGAGGTTTCCCTGAAATCTCATCTGTGTATCAATGGCTATAAAATGTACAATTTGGGACCGGGGTTGACGTGCAGTTGCTAAGATTTGGGCTAGCATGCACTAAGTCCCAGGTTCCAAGGCAAACAAATATGAAACCAGGTGTGGTGGTAGTACACACCTACGATCCCAGGGGAAGGCAGGAGAACCAGGAGTTCAAGGTCTTGTAGCCAGCCTGGGCTACATGAGGCAGTCTCAAAAAATAAAAATAAAATGTATGAATTGTTCAAGAAAATTTTCAGTGATCTTTCATCTTACTGCTGATCATATTTCTTCCCCTCTTAAATAACTTTAAACTCTTTGTGGATAAAGACTTTCGCAATCAATCCAATTACGTTTTCTTAGACTTTGATAATCAATCCAATTATGTTGTTGTTTGAACTATATTCTTTGAGTAAATTCGTAAAATGTATTATCTTTATTAGAGTCATTTAAGCAAAGGAATTATCAATGCAGTGATTTTTATTAGTTATCACTCAAATTATTTTTGTTTCTGTTTACAAAGGTAGTAAACCACTCGAGTGAGTTTTCAGTCCAGAGTTGAGATGTTCTCATTTTTTGCTTATAGAAAATTTTTATACAAGATCTTTATTGAAATAGAAAGTAGCTCAATGGTTAAAAACAAACTGAAAAACCCCATCCTTTCTTTTGTTGTTTTTGACTCTTTGGTTTTCTTGTTTGATTTTGGTTTTTTTTTTTTTTTTTTTTTTTGGTCTTTTTGAGATAGGGTCTCCCTGTAGCCCAGCTTTCCTGGAGCTCACTATGTAGACCAGGCTGGCCTTGAACTCACAGAGATCCGCCTGCCTCTGCCTCCCCAGTGCTGGGATTAAAAGTATGCACTACCACACCTGGCTGTTTGTTTTTGAGGCAGGGTCTCATATGGCTCAGGCTGGCCAGTAACTCACTGTGTAGCTAGGGGTGACCTTGAACTGATCAAGACTTTGCCTCCAGAATGCTGGGATGGCATGTATGTGCCACCACAGCTGGTCTGTGTGAGCTGAGGCTTGAACCCAGGGCTTCATGCCTGCTAGACAAGCACTCTACCAACTAGAGCTGGTCCCAGCCTGAGAAAAAGAGAGAGAAAAGCAGAGAGCGTACTATATGAAAAGAGCAGGCCACAAGATTATGTTCAGTTATGATTCTATTTTGTTGGGAAACATAATTAACATATGTACATGCTTATAAAACATTGAAAGCACAGAAATTCTGGGGTTTGAAAGATGGCTCAGCAGTTAAGAGCATTGGCTGCTCTTGCAGAGGACCTGGGTTCGATTCCCAGCACCCACATGGTAGTCAACAACCATCCATAACTCCAGTTCCAGGAGATCTGATGCTTTCTTCTGACCTCCAAAGGCACTGTATGACACGGGTGCACTTACATACATGCAGGCAATACACTCATACATATGAAGATAAGAAAGCACAGAAGTTCAAACTTCAGAATTAACAGTAGTTATAGTTCAGTGTTGGACTCAAACATAAAATTTTCTTCTCCTTTCTCTGCCCCGGTTCTGAGGATTGAACCTAGGGCCTTACCACACACTGGGTAAGCACCCTATCACCAAACTATTATCTCTAGCCCTGTCTTCTACATTTTTAAAAAATATTTTATTTATTATTTTTATTTATTTGTGTATGAGTATGCTGCCTACATGAGTGTAAGTGCACCCGTGTCCTACAGAGACCACGGAGGTCAGAAGAGGGCATTGGATCCTATGGAACTGGAGTTACAGATGGTTGTTAGCCGCCTTGTAGGTGCTGGGAATTGAACCCAGGTCCTCTGCAAGAGCGGCCAGTGCTCTTAACAGCTGAGCCATCTCTCCAGACCCTCTGTCTTCTACTTTTAATGTACTTTTTTTCATTTTCACTTTTAAACGGGTATTTAAATATCAAAATTTCCACTTGTGGTTAGAACGTTCAGCGGTTTGGAGACCCTTACAGTATCTTTTTCCTCTCTTCTATTTTTATGCCGTCTTCTTTTCTACTTTATTCAAACCCACTCATTCTATCGGGAATATTTCACTAAGTTTAATCAGTTCTAATCCATAGGAGAAGAATCATCTTCAATTTTTAGTGCTGGGTTTTATACATGCTAAACATGCCTTCTCCCACTGAGCCAGACCCTGAGCCCCTGGGTGGTATTGTAAAAGAATACCTGAATATCAGCCAGCTTTTCCAAGATGCGGCTCGCAAGCTTAGGACCGTTCTCCATTGTCGGAATGTGTAACATCTGTGAAGAAAGGAGAAAAGGGATTGTCTGAAGGGACTCACTCTGCACAGTGGAACAGGCAGGGTAAAGACAAGTGGGCGCAAACCAGGAGTGGCCCTCAGTGTTCCTGTTACACATGCTGCCTCGTACACCTGTGAGTCTTTTCTACCCCAAATTTGATTGCAAACTAATCAGCCAATGACAAGCTATTCACCATCTCAAAGGCACAAATGGCTTATACGCTATTCTTTTTTTCTAACACTCTAATTAGTATTTTTATTTTACATGTCTGAATTTTGTCTGCATGTAAGTTAAGTGCCCCATGTCATGCCATGTCTGAGGAGGCCAGAAAAGGGCATCGGATCCCCTGGAACTGGAGTCAAGAACAATTGTTGGATACCATGTGGGTGCTGGGAATTGAACCTGGGTCCTCTGCAAGAGCAACCAGTGCTCTTAACCACTGAGCCATCTCTCCAGCCCCTTAGACAGCATGTGTAAGGACGATTTAAGGAATCCAGGAAAAGGTGGAGTTTTTAAAATAGTGCATAAAAATAACTCAGAATCATCCAAATTCCAAGAATCTATTAGCCTAAGTAATTTCCCTCTGCATCGAACCCTCTGGCAAAGCATGAAAACTCAGATATTTTGCAACAAATGAAATTAAATGAAAGCAAGTCGTAGCCTTCACAAAAGGGTTTCGGAACCTACATCCGGGCCAAGGCATCTCCATGGGCCACAGCCTCCAGGGTGGCATATTAAATTCATAGCTGAACACGATCTCATGTTCCTAGTTTGTACCTGCACCATGCCTGTTCATGCCTTGCTGGTTTGCAGGCTTTTGAGGCTTTGATTTTAGTAGATAGCCTGTGTTCTCAAACACTTTTCTTATTATGCCTTTTAGTATAATAGGATAATTAGATGGACTTCTGACTCTAAATGCCTCCTGAAATCATTTAGGGGAAGCCTTACAAGTATGTTAAAGTTTGTAAACTTATTTCTAGGCCGGAATAAGATTTGGATTTTAAAACCATGCAACGTTAGTCATTAAAGTGGATCAATAACACACCTAGATACCATCATAGCAAAATACCCAACACTAGTTCCCTAGAACAGCCTTCTTCCTCTCACCCCCCTTCTGTGGGCATACACAGAATAGCTGTCTCATTGTGAGATGATCCATCTGTAGAGGAAATGATGTCAGCAACCTTCCCTTAAAAGCAAATTCTAAAATGTTAAAGAAAACCAAATCATCTAAGTATAGCTCTCACCACGCATCAAAGAAGCTTCTTTATGCAACAGATGGAGACTATTAGAGTTCTACAACTGGTCAAACTGCAGATCATAAGTAGCTTTGGGGTGACCAGCCCTAATCGACAGATGCCCAGGGAACATTCTGGAAGAGGGGAGAGAAAGATCTGAAGAGCCAGAGAACAGGACACCTGCAGCTATTGCTAGATCATGTATTGTAGACGTAAGAGAGAAACTGCACCCACAACATGGCAGCTGCCAAGACCTGTACAATGACACCACCAGTTGACA